TTTCCTTCGATCTTTGTAGTTAGCGTGGTTGTATTTCAGGTGTGGAATTGTGTTGTATGTTAGGCCCTTCTGATTTACTGTTTCATAAATTATTTAGTGTTCTGTAACTCCTCCAAATTTAGTCCTGTACATCGTTATACCTTGAAAATACGTGTTTGATTATCTTGCCTTAGCACAATGCCTTTAGTGCACTAATTCTTCATATGTGGCAATCTTTCAGTGTGAACACAGTAATTCTCTAGCATTAGCAGTGGGCATGGTACGCTACAATGTCTTGGAACGATACCTGTTTCGGTGCAGCGCTCTTAATCTTGGATTTGTTCATTTCAACTTAAATCAGACCGTTATAAGGATTATTTGAAGTGTACATAGCTTTGATGAATGTCAAGAGATTCTTAAAGTACTGCAATACGCTTCATGTTGACTTTGTAAGCATGCAAAAGGGCAGGCATAATCTTGATAATTAAACAGAACTCCCCAAATTAAATCATTTCTTTCACCAATGTGTATTTTCTCTGATCGTGTTCTTAACAGCAGAATTTATTTTCTGCCTCCGTGTGAAACGTGCGTATAGGCAAAAGGAGGGAGGCTGGATCTGTATTGTGAAAAGAAATGATTGAAATGGACTATATTTTCTGTACTAATAAATCAGCAATGTACTTCCCCAAGAAAATTTTTGTTTAAAATTACTATAATTGCAAGTAGAATTTAATTTTAAGAAGTGTACTTATGTCTGAAGATTGGAATGATATTTCTGTATATTTACAGTTTTTAGAGACTTATTTTCTCTTTATTTTCTTGACTAGTTATGACTTATTTTTTGCAATGAGGAAGAAATGGTTTTCTAGAAAACTGTGGTTTTTAGCATTGGTGATCTCATAGTGTGGTCATCCGTGTAAATCTTCTTAAGGTACACCGGTTGCTTACATAGCAGTAAGCAAGAACTTCTTTTCTTTCATGGATAATAGGCAACAGGATTTAATCAGCGTCCAGAAAGTCATTGTCTCATTTATTTTTTACATTCCATTTTCTTTATTTTTATTCCGGTAGTCTTGTGTAACTGAAAATATCTTTGCAATAAGTGCCCATAGAGAGTGCTTGTTGTGTCTGTCTTTGAGGGCTAACAGAATTAAAGATTCTTGCATGCTTTGTTTCACCCAATAAATTCAAAATTTCTTTCTTCTATGCACAAAATTTGTGTATAGACTATTTTGTTATTGAATTGCAAAAATCAAACATGTGGCTATTTAAAAAAAAAAAAAAAACCTTAGGTGCTGCAATTAAAAACCAAAACGAAGACAGACAATCCCCAAAGTCCTGCAGTATCCCAGCTGAAACCACTATTCCTTAGGAAAGTAGATTGTTGAGACTTAGTTTTGTTCCAGGTTTTGTCACGAACTTGTTTATGCTGGGAGCATGATGTAATGTGTGTCTCATTTTCCATTTTCGAAATAAGATTGATATTTTTCTCTTTTTTTTCTTTCTGAATTGGCGGTAACGTTCTCTTTCAAAGTGCTTTTCAAAGTGCTTTTTGATTCCGGGATAAAAAACACTACGCATATGGTGGTGATAAATAATACTTACAACGGCAGACTACAGCCTGTTTAGTATAACCTAGAATGTCCACTGAAAGTATTACATCGTAGTTTAAAAAAACCTGTAATACTTTTTTTATAAAAAGATATATGCTTTTGTTTGCCTACTTCATTCCAAGTCAGTTGTGTATAGATATGCTTTTAAGGAACATTTAAAAATCCTTAAGCGTAGAATTCAAAGCGAGGTCAAACTATCTTTTTGGTTTTTAGCGTTTAGTTTTAGAACAAGTAGTCTTTCTTCCACTAAGAATACTGTATACAGTCTCATCTACATAAATATAACTTGTTGCCTTTCTAAATGGACTTCTTTGACGCTCCGAATTTATATGCTCATCTCTTATAAATCATCTTCCTCTCGCATTGATTTTTTCTTGTTGCTTTAATATCTTGTGAAACTACCTGGTAATTTTGACTCAAGGAATATGGTAGACAGTAGTTTGAAATAAATATGTCTTGGCAGTGCTTTCTGAAAATTAATCTAAAGCGTTCAGAGGTTATTGTACTGGTGAGCGTACTTCATGGAAAATGCTTGGCATTACAACGTTTATTTACCTTTTATTAAGGTCATCTTGAGTGGATCTGTAAGTTTTATTGTGACAGACTTTGTAAAGAGCTGGGAGTGGGCAATAACCGACTATTTTGCTGTTTGGCTGGTAGATACAACTATATGTTGCTGCTGAACTTGGTGAAAAGGTCAGGCAAAAGTATTTGTTACCTCTGTTTGGTGTAGCTGCTGATGTCACTTTTTCAAAGGACTAATACAGTTGTAGTCTGCAGTTTGTGATTGCAAGTCAATGCAGTATCATTTTGCGGGGGGCTTTTTTGGGAAATCTAGTGGTGGACTTAATTGTATGCATAGCTATTAAATCATTTTATCAGCGTATGAAGTGCAAGCCTATTTCTGTTTGCAGTGACGGAGGTAGATAAGTTGTTGGTAGTCGTTGATCGTATGGGGAACTAAACCTTGCACAGCGGTTGCAGAATGATTCCTATTTTGTTTTTGTTGAACTTTGTGTAATACTACATTTAGCTTCTAGTACGCATACTTTGTCTTATGTTATTGTTCATTTAGGTATAAAGAAAACTAGTGAATGTATTAAAAGGTTTACCTACGGTCTTAACTATTTTGAAATTTTTCCCCAGTGTGATTAATCTTTGTTTCCACACAGTTGAGGTCACTGTTAACAAAATAGGTAACACAGGGAACGTAAAATGGAGAAATAGTTTTTTAAATCATTTTTCAGTTGCAGAGCTCCATAAGTGTAACTTATCACAACAGCAGGTACAAAATAAATGAGTTTTTATAAGTCTATTAATGTAAAACACATTTGTGGCCTTTGGTTTACTGTTGAATTTATTGTTTAGTTACATTTTATGACAGACTGGTTCCTCTGGTAACTTATGGCTAAAAGAGTAGAGAGTAGTACAGTCAGTTAGGAAATTTGTCTAAACTGTGTTAAGTATACAGTTAAATACAGCAGTACGTTGAGGTTTGTCATCTTTTCCTCTGCTAGAAGTACGATCCAAGAGGTTTGGATATAACCAGGTCTGTAAAAGTTGATTAAAAATATTTGCATGTATGAAATTTCTGAAAATACCAGGCTTATTTTTGGTTGGTTTTGAAAATTCTTTGAAAACGCTCTTAATTCTAAACACAACAATTTTGGATTAGTGTATGAAAAACAAGAGGAGCTCTTTAATTTTACGGCTCAGAATAGAACAAAGTAAGAAAATATTAACATAAGTTTTTTTTTTACTGTTTTTTAAGTTTTAATAGTTTTTAATTTCTTTGGCAGTGCGAGTGGAAAAGTTCAGCTTAAAGGAAAAACATCTTCTGCTTGACAGAACTTACTTCTTACACCTTTAGCTCTTCAACCCATCACTTTATACTTATTGGTTGTCTCTCAGATACTTTACACTTAGTGGCTGAGTACTGATGCTGTTGCATGTGTGCCTCTAAGTGTTTTAAATCCTTCTTATTTGCCTTTATATACCTAGGGTTCCAGGTTAAATATCTTCCTTGCGCATTCACTGTTGCAAATCAGTTATGCTTCGAGATTACGATGTCGTTTCCCACAATATAACATATTTGCACTTCTTACAGTAGGTTTTCTAAGTCACTTTCCAGAACCATGATAGAAAAAGGTTATATGAACAGTTCAACCATAATCTTTGAGAGAGGAATAATCTTCAGTGAGGGGGAGGAGAAAAGGTGGCAACAGACAGCTGGAGGTAATAACCACTTAAACTCATATGCTGCATTCAGGAGAGTTCATCAGACTATGATCTAAAATCACATTAATATAAAGCTCTCTTGCGTTTGTTTTTTTCACATGAGTAATCATTTTTTGTTTTAAAGCCAACTATAGAAAAACGAGACATTGGTGTTACTAAAAATAAGTTGTTTTTCACACTAGGAAATGTTTTGATGCCTCTGGGATCCGAGTAATTTCATATATAAATTGACTTTGTGCAGATATAGTCCAAATGGACAGTGAATAGAAGAGCTGACTTTTTCTTTGTAATTCAGGTCTCATCTCAAGCACAAAAGTTCCTAATGATTTCAACTTCTGCTTTTCATTTAATCAGCCCTTCTGTGCGCTAGGGCAACTTTCAGCAGATGACAAGCGGTCCATGGATCGTATTTCAGGAACCATTTGTCTAAAGCATTCGAGTAAAAATGTCTGAAGTAGAAATTGTATTTGTCAAGAGGGAAAAATGAGTTAAGGTATCAAGGGTGAGGGAAGTAAATGGTATGTGGAAGATGTCTGGGAAACAACTGCGTGCTAATGTGCAAGAAGTTTGGAGACAAAGGGACATTATTGTCATGGCAGGATTGAATAGAATCTCGGGAGTGGCTGTAAATAGTACTGAAAGCCCTCGAGCATTCTCTACTTTTTGGTATTTTCTTGGTGTTGCCTCAATGTTAGACAAAAAAAAAATTTTGAAAATCGAATGCTCCTGATGCATCATCCCTAGAAACTGATTCAAATTTGCAGATGCACTGAGGTAGGTTAGAAAGTTATAGTAGTACATCCTGAAAGAAATAGTGGAGAGTGGAGACTCAACTGCATGTATCTCATTAAAATCAGAAAAGCACTTATGGTCTTCCATGCTGCTTTGATACTAAATGCCAAAGTAGTCTGGCTTCTCAAGTTTTCTGAAATTACTTAATGCCAAACAGCCTAGCTTGTTTCTGAAAACAAAGGAAAGAATCCTAGTTGAGCACGTTTCTGTTGCATCTTTCTTTAAAACTGAGGCAGAGATTAATGATAGTTATCCCTCTTTAGATTATTCAAATACTTTTGAGCTATGATGACAAAACTGTAGCGTGGAGCAGATTTTGTATAAAGCAATATACTGCTTTGTGAAAAATCCTTTTAAGAAGAGAAACCCTACAGGTCTGTATGTGTACTTTCAATTCACTGTAAATTTTTAGGTAGGTACGTGTTACAATTGTCTGTTTTTCTTTTTAGGGCTCATGTAATCAAAGGAGTTTCTTTGTTGTGTGTATCTTTTCAGAACACAACAGGAATTCAAAATGAACCAGGTGAGTTTAAATGCAAGACTTTATCAAAATACTTTACTTAGATTTAGAACAGTTAATTATTAATAAGAAAAGTAAATCATCCACTAAAACTGTTGTTTAAAATCTTCACTTCCATTGAGTTCCATAATCTTCCTCTCCACATTGTGTTTGTGAAATTTATTTCATTTTCTGTGTGAATTCCCTTCAGTCACAGGTAAAATATTGTGACTGAGACCTCTTAGAAAAATCCCTGTCCAAGAAATGTGTTTCATTCTGAGGCTTTTGATAATAATTCAGCTGCTTATGAAAAAATTATTTGAAAATTGAAGACAGCCCGCCCTCCCCCCCCCAACCGCCCCAACCGCCCCACCATTTTACCAATTCAAACCTGCAGTGAAGAGAATCTGTCATGGAAATTGATTCAACAGTAAGTTTCTAACTTTTCTAGAAGCTAAATGTTTCTCTAGACTCAGGTTAAGACTTGGAAAGTGCATTTCCTTTGTGATGCAGTACTCTCTTGCGTAGCCACAAGAATATCCTGAACGTTTTAGAGGCTATTCTAGTCATTGCCATGCCCACATGATGTTGTTTTAAATTTCTCTATCCAAGTAAGAATAATAAATTTCTATCTATTGCACGCAGTATTAAAGATACAGAATAGGCCTTTATTTTTCTTATTAATACTCCTCTTTCTGGAGGATGTAACAGAGTCCTTTTGGCAAGGCAATATGAACACAGGATATTAAACTGAAGGAATACCTTTTTTAATTTTTTTAAAAAGCTGCTATTCATAGTCAGCTTCTTGTTTTCTTTAGCCAGAAACAACCGCAGTACACAGTGAAGTAAAATGCTTTGTCATACACCTTTTTCATTGATGTCTATTTCAGAGTGCTTTTATTGCCCTTATGCTCTGGACATGTCGTTTAAGAACAATATAATTAGTTGATCATCATTCGCATCCAGTACAGTTAGCACTTTGCTGAAATGTACTCTATCGCTATGCTATAGAAGAGAAAGTGCAGCTAGATAAGGTGTGGAATTGGTCGATGAGATGTCTCCTGTTACTTTTTTCCCTCTAATTTAAAGTGAAAAGTGGCCTTAAATATATACATGTATGTTTGTTTGTTTTTTTTTTTTTAAAAAAAAAAGGCAAAATAAGACAATCTCTATCGGAGTCTTGAAATATATAGGAAATGTGAGGTATGCATGTTAACGTTTGTATTAGCATACTTTGAAGCATCAGTAGTCTAGTTTGGGGTAGCTAGGGTAAATACTGTGTCAGAATTTGTACATTGAGATTTCAAACCTTTTCACATCTAAGGTTTGTTTTGAATGCACTCAGGGGCATAAAGTGAACAGCTTGTTGCTCTATGCTGAGAGTAGTAACTGCTCTGTGGGTTGTTCTGATTAAAATTTTGGACTCTGCTAAAATTCTGAAAGCGCTAGATTCTGATCTTTAGTAATTGTTATCAATGGCTCTGCTTGGGGTTTTTCTTTTTCTCCCCCCAGACTGTGTGAAACTAAGTCTTCATTATTCTTATTGGCCTGCTGATAGTATTTATGCAGTGCTGTGATGTAGGTCATCTTGCAGTTCAATAAAGAGATGACCCTGCCTCAAGGAACGATTACAGTAGCTTGGAGTCTTTCTTAGCGTCTCTGGCTTTCACGTTTAGTTTCCAAGGTGTGTGGAGCTTATATGGCTTTTTATTGTTCGGTTACCATTCACGTTAAGTGTGTATTCAGCATCGACCCTGTGGTGTTTTTTCTTGCAGTGCCCTTGTCATTTCATTCACTGACAAGTTGTAGTGCCAGGTCTGTATAAGGAATGTCTTTGCCTCACGTCAAGCATCTTTCAACTGTTGTCTTCTCATATTTCTTTCATTCTGCTTATCTCCACTTTTAGTGTGACTTTGGTGACCGTGCAACTAACTGAACTTTTGTTAAATTGGTTTATATGAAAAGATTGTTAGTTTTGTTGTTCACCCCATAGCATTCTTGAAGTAGTGAAGGAAAACCACTTCATAAGTACTTTGATGTGGCCTCTGCCTTGTAGTAAGGAGAAAAAGGGTTAAAAAAAAATGCAGTTTTTAATGGAACTAATATTACTGCGTTTCTTGGAAAATTGCTGTCTCAGGACAGACGGGTTGTGTTCTCTTCTTATTTCAAAAAATCTTCCTTTAATATTAAAACTATTTCATTGGAATAGTCTGAATTATTTAAAAAAGCAAGCAAACTTGGATTTTTCATCAGTAACATCTACTGTGTCTCATATTGCATTAAGATTGGGTAGGAAAAGGTTGCGAGGTTACCTGGAAAATTGTATGGATAGTTATTTAAAAAAAAAAAAATAGTGAAGGTGTAAGTTAGCCAGTTCTGGCTATGCTTGTAACCCCCTGCTCTCCCCCGTTCCCTTCCGAATTCTTCACTTTTTTGTTCAAGATTTCAAATATTTGTAATATCTTTAATCTCCAGGCACGCGTGCTAGAATTGCTGCCAAGAGGAGTGGCCAAATAAGGTTGTAAAGCAGAGAACTTTCTGCTTCTGACTGACCTGTCTTGTGGTTGCTAGCTGTTTGCGTCAGCACTCTTCCTTAGTCTCTTCATCTCCTTTTCACAGTGCAGCTACCCCTTCTAACCTCAGCCACGTCCTTCTCTCTTCTTGGCGTCCTTTCATTTATGTTTTCATTTATGTTAATAAAGCCCTGTTTTCACCAAAACGTAATGGTAACTGAGTGATTGCCATTCACCATTTATTTGGCATGACTTTTTTACCTCTGTTGTTCCAGTCTCTCTATCATCTATAAACGCCTTGTAGCATTTATTATTTCTGCTCTGCTTATACACTGCTTGTAATATTGGAATCTAACTTGTGATTGGTGTAATTATGTAGAAGGTGGTATACCAAACTGCTGGTAATTGCTAAATTATTGCATAAGTTCAAAATAAAAGTGTTGAAAGGTTCTAACAAAGTGGCTGGACTCTAAATTCATGCAAACAAGAAAAAGTTTCAGTTAGGGTATCCCCAGCCTTCAGATGACTTTTTGCCTTGATTTTTTTTAAAGCCACTTCACCCTTGCAAGTTTGAATGCTAACAGTGTAACATTTGTGATGAGCTCCAGAGTAATAAATTTAAAAGTAAAAGGAAGTTCAGGTGGTCTTGTATTCAAAATTGCAGTGTTGGGGTGAGTGAAAAGTTAGGACTGTGGGAGTGAGTGAGAAATGTTAGGACTTTAAATGCATAAGTTGACTGTAGCACACAAGCAGTAAACTTTTTTTTTTAACAGAAAAGTCAACTTAAATATGATCAGTGTTGGCAAACTTATAGTATCATTGACTGAACTCGTAGTATTTCATTTGGTAGATAGATATTCCTTAGGGACAAATTCCGATCCGGAAAATGCTTTAAATAACTACATTTAAATTGCAAATACAATGCGATTGCACTGATTGGACTGAATTAAGTTGTTAATTTTACTGAGCAGTTTTTGGTTGCTTATTAACATTCACTTGAGATGTGAAATATATTGTTATATATAAGGCCATTTCCAATTTTCTGGTCCTTGTGAAGTTAATATAGCAGGTTTGGAAAGGATTGCAGCGTTGTGTTCTCTGAATGTAGTTGCTAAGCTTTGATTCGTGTAGGTAGATGAAGAATTAAGTTCTGATTATCTGTTACTACTTGCAGATAAACTTCTCTTAAATGACAGAACAGTTCTGGAACTTTTTATGCTGAAGGGAGGTATGGCTCTTAAGGATTCTGCCCGCATCGAAGCGTGTGATACAGTAGCGTATAGTTCTGTCTAAATTGATTCTGATTTTATTTAATTTTGCTTTGCAAAAATGTGATAAATCAGACTTTGGGCTTGAGATTTTCCATCGCTTATCTAGCTATGGTTGTAAAGAATGCTTTTGTTTGAAACTTAAATTGCCTTGTTCTGATAGCTGTTGTGCTTGCTCTCTGCAATGTCCCTCATCAGCCTACGTACCGTTTGTTAGAAACCACTGTGAAAAGTAGGATTGGGGCCCTCCTAATGCAGTCATGGGGTAATGTACTGGAAAGACGTTTAGGCTTCATAGTTCGGTAAGCTACAAAGACAGATTTTTCTCTGCTGAGACGTGACTCTTTGCGTATCTGTTTAAGGCGAACAGATGCCTGAAAATCAGTCATCTTTCATCGTTATTTTTCCTTTCTGATTTTTGAAAGAGCAAATTAAAACTTCCTTCTGCTTCTAATGCACCTTCAGCTATTATAACTAGAGAATTTTTCCCAGGCTCTACACTCGTGTGGATGGGAAGGGATATCTGGCATTCTCTGCCTTCCATAGTTTCCAATTTGGGTGTCTTTCTTCCCTACAAATAGCTCTCTAGGATTTGTGTGTGCAGCTGTTAAGGCTTACCACGGCAGCAGTAGAATAACATTGCTATGACTGTGGTTTTATCATTTTTCTCTGTTGCTCTTGAAGAAAGCTGGCAGAAGCATAATGAGTAGTCGGGTAACTTAAACTTATGGTCAGCAAGTCCCATTCAGAAATGTAAAGGAGAAGAATTGCCATATTCAGCATCCTCACAAGGAGTGGATGCCAAGTAGAAGTTTTGCAAGCTTTATCCGTTTTGCTTTAGAGAGAAAAATCTTAGATTTCATTGCATATGCAGCTATCGGTATATTTCCCGGCAACTTTCACCATAACATACTTCATAAGTGCTCAATGAAAAATGCTGTGAGTGTTATTCAGTGTATGTAAACTAGTGTGTCACATCTCTGCTTCGTAGTTCTATGTAACAGCTAGAATAATTTCAAGAAAGTCAGGATTTACTTGGACAATTTGTCCAAATTATTTATCTGTACAACACCAGCTATAGCTTTTTTAGAGCCTAAGTAATTAGGAGTTCCTCTTCTCGCCAGTATAACTTGCTCCTGACGAGAATGATCAAAGTTAGATGTCAAAAGACAGGTATTTATTTTTAGGGCTGTTGAACATGGTTCAGCATGTGCCTAATTCTCACCAGGCACCACGCTTCCATGATGTGGACTGATTTTATGGGGAGCTGTGCATGCTTGTAACTTTGAAATTCTAGCCATTTTTATTGGGAACAAATATTATGTTGATTATAATTAGCTAATGAAGAGCTAATTATTTTATGCTTATTGCAAGGGTGAGTAGTATTTACTACCATATAGTAGATGAACAATAGTAGAACTATTAGAAGCAGCCTGTGGAACCTGTTAGTTTCCTGAAAACTGACATTGAACCAATCACTTATTAAAACATTTACAAATCACTTATTAACTCTATTGGCTTTCTAGTTTTGATATAAAAATGGGTTGATCACCTTTTCTGTTATTGCCTGCTGGCTGAGGAGTGTCGGTTGCTGATTTATTGGGGAGTTATAATTCACATTTAGGGTTCTGAAATACTAACCATGAAAGCAATATTTAAAGCCCGTTAGCTTCTCAAAAAAACTACCTTTTAGCTTAACCTGTTTGTTGCAAAGCAGAGCAGTAAACTTGACATGCAAATACTCTAAGAGTTGATCTTTGGAGTGATAATGACGTCTTTATATGTTGTAAGTGGAGCAGCAGAATGATAGCAAGAGGCCCAATAATTTGTTCAGAATTTCTGCAGAGGTACTGCATATTTTGACACTTCTCTCTGAAAGCCCGCTTCGTAGATACGTTCTTCCTGGCCTGATTCATTGCCCGTTGCTGCAATCACAGTGTAGCTTCACAACATGTTAAGCTTTGTTTTGTAGCCTACAGTGCACTTGGAGTGAGATGAATAGCAGGGTAAAGGGAAGGGAGGAAGAAAGGGTCTGTGATTGCTTCTATGTACTGCGTGCAGAGAGACCATTTAGTTAAAGACTTGCTTGAATTTAATTGCTGCTACAGATAAGTTTGGGTTGTGAGCTAGCTGCTGCAAAGTACATTTGAATATGAACTTCAGGTCAGCTACCCTACCATAACAGTCTATATGAACGTTATTAGTCTCCAATAAATGCAGCGTGGTGAATCTCTGTCCCCCTGGCCTTTGGTGTTGGGTAGTACATATGAGTATGGCCGTGTGTGTTCCTGGCAAGGGTAGATGATGTATCATTCTGGTATACGTTGTAGTTGTTCATTTATGGCAACATCCTACGTTCAACAGATGAAACGACTCTTTTGTGAGCTATATGCACTTCAGAACTGTGTATACAGGTTTTTTTTTTCCTTAAATTTGTTTGATCTTTCTCACGGGAGACCTTTTTCAAGTAAAGGTAGTGCTACTGAATTGTCAGTATGGCGGAAGAACTGCAGGATTGGTGCAATGCCAGAAACTCTTTTAGGTTGTTTTTTGAGACTGATTAGATTTTTGTCTTCGGGTATCCCTGGAGGTAATAACTTGAGAAGAGGAAAAAAATTGCGAACTTATGTGAAATTATGCTCAGTGTGGCTGAGCATAGCTGATGTTCTGACTTTGCATTGTGTTTCCAAAATTATCGCTTTGTGTTTCTGGGCAGGTGAGTCCTGTTATTGAAACTTTGCTTCACTCTTTCCTTTATGCATAGAGGCATACACGCTTGTTTTGTTTGGAACTTTTATGCGTAAGTTTAGGAAATGATTGACAAAACTAAATTGGAAGGCTGTACAAGCAGGACTCGACCCTCAGAACATAAGTGCTCTGGAGCTGAAATTGCTTTGTTTTGAAACTTCAAGACCTCTGTGTGCTGTAAGGTAAAATACCAGTTAGCTTTCATTATGAACACAAATATCAGACTAGTGCGTACCCAGGGAAACTGCAAAACAGCTTGGGTTTCACTGACAAGAATTGAGGGGTTCTTTAAAAACATATAGAAAATGGCAAATACCTAGAATTGCGTGTGCTGAATACAAATAAATATTTCTTAGAATTTTTACATTTTTAGGGTTTAATTTCCTAAATTCTGTTTCCCTGTTAATAAAGATTATCTTAATAGATAAAGATTTTGCCTTCATATTGGTCACAAGTACCGTGGCTTCTTACAGCCAAATGTTTACGTTCAGTCAAACAAAGTTTGATTAAAAACAAATGTTTCTTTAGCCACCCTTTTCATTCATGCTGTCAGTTACAATAGAGATAAGCTGCATGCCATAGATCTGAAATGGATCCCAACAAGCCTATTTAAAATTATTTGTGTTTTGGGAAAATGATTATACTTAACCTTTACGGAAGTCTGCTTGGGGAGGGTCGTAATGGTAGGGTTGCTGGCTCTAGCAGATTTTTGATCCATGTTTGTTCTATATTTTAAAGAAAAATTTGCTGAAGGTTAGTCTCTAGGTGTAGAACAGGTAATGTAAAGCAGCTGCTAATATTTCAGTGCATTGTGCTTTCATTATGCCTCTCTTTTAGGAACTTCTGCAGTTTTATCCTCTGTAGGAAATCCAGGATTTAAGAAATCTGTCAATAGAATGGCTATGAAAGAAGAAAAGCAAACCTCCCTCCCCTCTGCTTCCTGTGTTTTGTTTTGCTGCGTACTATTTTAATCATATCTATTTTAGCACCACAGTTCATTTGCCTCTAGTTATTTTAAATTCTAGTAATATGCTTCAGCTGTATAATTTGGACAAAAGATGTGTGTCTGTCCTGAAACACTTCTGACAGCTTGTTTTCATCTTTTGACTATTCAGAGTTCAAAAGGTGCGCAGCTAATGAAGGTTTCTACGGGAGCCATCATATTGCTCTTAAATGTACTAGTCTGTCCTAGTCTTTCAAAAGCAATCAGCAACATCCTCTAGCAGAAAAGATGGTATTTAAGACCTACTGCTGAAACCTAAAATAATGAAAGTCTTTTTTGCAGTTAACATTTAGAAGAGGCTAGATCTGAATGTTATTCATAGTTTTCTTTTTAGAGGGAAAATTCATCTACCTCCTAAACATTTTTTTATCGAGTGAGACTGGCCAGACATGTTATGTAAGAGCTAATATGTGTTCATCCTACATGTTTCTTTGAAAAATCTGAATTGTCTAGCTTAAAAATAGTTTAGAAATCGTTTCTGTACTTGTACTAAGTCTAGTACTTCAACAGAACATTTAAGGAACTTGAAATTTCATGGTGATGACAGCTCTTAGGTGTTAAAATGCTTTCTGAGGCAATTTTTCTGTGAACTCTTTTGTGTTACTTTTTGAAGAAAGACTAAGCGTAATAGACTATGCAGGGAGACTTGACTATTTTACGCTATATTTTATGTGAAATTTGAAGGAGCTTTGCTAAATCAGAAACAGTGCAAAGGAATAGTTTGTCTCAGCATAACGTAGCATGTAACAAAGCTATTAGTTGTGTAAAATCCAAGTAAAATGTAGTTTTTCTTGACATAACTGTTTAAAAAAAATAGTGCAGTCTGTAATCTCTTACCTGTATTTCTGTTCTGTGGATGAGTTTTAGCTCACCATATTAATGAGCAGCACAGGTCTCACAGACTTAATGCTGAGCCTGAACCCATGTGAAAACCGTATTCTGAAAAATGGACTTATTCAAGTAAACTTAATATTGTGGATAGATATTTTCCAATGTATGAAAAAAGTCCTTCCCTCTTCCCATCTGCGAGTATGGTATAGTAGTGTTGGCAGGTAGGTCATGTTCAGGCAGGAGAATTTGAATACCTTCAGCTCTATTCTCTGACTAGTTCAAATGGAAGTTTTGGGTTTGATTTTAAGGAGAAGCCCAGGGAAATGAATGAAATGGCAAAAGGGCCTGTGAGCTGTATGGAAACCCCATCAGTTAGATTTACCTGCCGTATACTGCTTTCAGTCAAAATGCATGCATTAACTAAAGCAGAAGAATAGTTACCAAAACTTCAGTTGTTGGTGTTCTACATGCATCTCAAAGACCTTTATGTATGTGGTATTAGAACTCCGCGTCAAAGCGTTAACAGCTATTAATGAAAATGGTGAAAACTTTAATGTTGTGATTAAAAAAGATGCTTCTACGTTAGAATATTGATGGAGGGAACCCTAGCTGAAATGGCAGTTTGGAAATTGTACTTCCAAGTCAAGCTGTTGTTGCTTCTACGGGTGGATCGTCTGTGTTTTCTTCTTTGCTAATAGTCATGGTCCTTCTCTTTTTTTTTTTTTTTGACTTGTAGAACACAACGGAATCTGTTGGCACTGTGGAGACCTTAGCTGATGTACCTGAGCATGTGCTTAGAGGGCTTCCTGAGGATGTGAAGCTCTTCCCATCTGCTGTCGACAAGACAAGGCTTGGTGAGCGCTACAACTTTGAAAAGATAATGGAGGTTTTTACGCTAGCTCACACAAATAGCTCACAGCTGCTGTGAAAATACAGTGCCCCCTTCTGCTGGGTAGCCATGAATCCCTAGTACATTAATATGAAATGATTTACGTTGGAAAGAGGGATCTACTTCTGCCGCGGTTTCTCCCAGAGCCCAAGCTCGTGTTTCCAGAACATCAGGAGCTGGGTCAAAGGTAGACCAAGATGCAAATAGATTAGGTTATGAAAATATTGGTATGTTTTTTTTCGTCGACTCACTTTCACTTACAGCCCTTTCACCTTTTCCAGCTTGGTTTTTTTATTTTTTGCAGACATCTTAACTATTGTCCCTCTTCCACATCTCCCTGTCTAATCAGTATAAAAAGTTTAATTTATGAGGACAGCTTCAGTGCAGACTTGAAAGCCACTATATGGGGCAAAGTATTGTTTTTGTAATGTATGCAAAAATGCCTGTGTGTGTGTTTTATTTATTTATTTATTTATTTAATGGGGTTTGACTCAGGAGACTTCTGATGGCAGTTACAGTTATGGACTTGGTAATTTAAGCCAGTAGTTTGATGAATAAGCCTGACAGTGGATGTGTTACTGTTAGTAGCAGATTTTGAACTTTCTGGAATAAGGTTAATCTTTTCTAGTATGAACCTGAACTAGTGTGGTCTGAATGGGAACGTTATGTTTGAATTCAGTCAGCTATAAGCAGTAAACATTCTAGAAGACTTTTACTACTTGACTGTGTTTCTATAACTCTGAAAGAGAGAGATACCTTTAGAATATTTTTTCCCCTTCACAAAGTCAGTGTCATCGTGTTGAAATGGAGTGTTTTCCTAATAGACCTGTCCTTACATACCTGCAGGAAGTTAATTGACTGTTTTCCATGGAGTTTGTCTTAAGTATTGGAGAAAACTGTTTTTAGTTTTCTTGTTAAAACAAGTGAAACGTTGTCCAGATTTTCAGTTCATTTAAATCTTGTCAATACACTTACAGGCAGATACACGTTTTCACCAATCTTACATGTGCTTTCCTTCTAAATGTAGTATTAGTTAGTTTCACAGCTTCTGTGGGGGCTTTATTTGCCTGGATGTGTTTCATAGCAAGCAAGTAGCTTTTTTTTTGTTTTAGTGACATATTTACTCAGTGAAGTAGCTGAAATCTGGAACTTTACACTGTATAACCCGTAAGGAAAACACTTTCATGGTATTTTTGAGTATTATCTGAGGTACAGGAGAAATCAGAAGTCATTTTTGGTCTTCAGACCTACAGTAGCTTGTGAGCAAAGAATAAAACCAGTCAAATGCTTAAACCTTTTACAATTGGAGTGAGGTTTGGGGAGTAATGAGAAGTTTCCTGAATTCACTTTAACTTCACTTTGCTTGTTGTGATGTTATTATTGTAAAATGCTCCCCCGTCTGAGATAGACAAACATTTAATGAAGTTAGGAAGTCTGAATTGTGTAGAACACTTGCTTGAAATCAGGTGGATTCATTGTAACTACTGGTATGTATCTTTCCAGGGGTCTGGGCAACAAAATCGATTTTAAAAGGCAAGAAGTTTGGTCCATTTGTTGGTGACAAGAAAAAGAGATCTCAAGTTAAGAGCAATGTATACATGTGGGAGGTAAGAAACGCCTTGTAAATGCGAAAAGTATCAGTCAATATATTGTTTGCCCCTTAATTTTTCCAGAAATTCTAGATGTAGTTGTTATACAGAATTATCATCATCGATCTATGCTTTCTACTACAAACATGTATTTTTAGACAAGTAGTTTCAGAGTAATAATAGAGTATTTTTTTAATTTTAGAGTTGCTTTTGCGCTTAAAGTTTTTGTAGAAGTTCTCAACAGTTGCAGTATTTCTTGTGTTCCTCTGTAGTCTTCAACAGCAGGGGAAGTTCTTGTATTTGGGCTTGCCTTAAAGTGAATACATACTGCTTGGACGGTTGAATAGCTCTTTGAGCTCCGCTGATAGTCATAAGGCTTACGTCTTATTATGTAAATTGAAAAATTTAGGTGTCTTAATCTGGAGTTGAATCCTATCCACAGTGTCCTCAAATAAGACGGTTCATAGCTATTCCCAAAGACTTCAGCCTTTAAGGCACATACAGCAAGCGCCTTTAAGGCGTGAACGGTCGAGGAGGAGGGATGGGAGGGACTGATACTTGCCAGTTTACAAATTTTTAGGATGACGATATGGATAGCAGTCATCCTTCTTGGCCACTAGCTTGCTAAAATGAGAATGCCTGGAACACTGAATGCGTGTACAAAACTTAATGTTAATCCCTATCAGAGAAATGGATCTAGAACAGTTTCTCATAAATGCAAATTCGCTATCAGTAACAGAAGAAAGCGTTCAAGTAGAATGTTTGTGTTGAGTTGCTGCTTTCAGAAACTCCCCTATATAAAGTGTATCTCATTTTGATCTGGTACAAGAACATTGAGTAAGATTGGATCACAGTCCAGTAAATCATTGACCGTGCACTTCTCAGTGCTGGATTCTGAATGTTCTCATTGGATATGTCTTAATATTCTCGAAGTTTGTTGAAAAACAATAGTCACAAACAGCCTGTTACAAGGTTTCATAGTTTGTAACGCTGGGAATGAGGAGGGTCCTTTACTGGATTTCAGAGTAGTTGCTTGTTGCTTTAATACTGGTTTTGAAATTAATGAGAAGTCAGCTAAAATGAGACCGCAACAGTTGGCCCCATATGCTGATATCTGAAACCACTCCAGCAGCTTAACTATTACAAAATGTAATTTATGAAAGAACGATGGTGTTTGGAAGTAGTCCTGTATGAGGGCCTTTCGCAAAATCAGAGCAGCCTTTTTGCCAAGAGTCCTTTTCTTTTTTTTAGTGAAGTTAATCTAAAGAAAAAGTAAGGCTCCTGAGAACCGCTTGGAGATGCTAGCTTAAAGTTAAAAACTGCCAACTGTCATGCTACATGACTAAGATGGGTTTTGTGTGCCAGTATTTGCTTGCTGCAGCTGAGGAAAGAAATACATAAATTGAACGTATTTTCCTTTTCTGTCAGAGAAAAGCCACTGACAGGAAAATGATGGCAAGTGATTGAAAACTGTGAGGGAAATGCCACCTGCTGATGAGTTCAGAATGAGCGGCACAACTGCACTGAATGGTCTTGATCCTGGTTTACAGGAATCATTTAAAGTCACAATATTACACAGAGGAGTTAAAACTATTTCCTTTCCCACAGTGCACAAGCTCTTTAAACAAAATTCAGTAAATCAGAAGCTTTGACTGAAAAGTAAGCAGGTATTATGTTTTGCCATACGTTCTGTATTTACTAACACTTCCACGGCATTGTTTGGCTGTTCTTTTCTTCCATTTTAACCAAAGGGATTGCTTTTACGGTCTTGATCTGTGAAGCTGTTTACTTTCTCATATTGCAAGGGTTGGGTGTGCTGATGAGCATTCTTTCAAAAGTCAGCTGATGAAATCCAGGCTGGAACAGTTTAAGCGAGGGAAATGTTTCCTTTTTCTCGCTTGGAAAGAGACAGAGACGATTTTGACGTGTCTATGGAAACATTTTATAAAATTCGCGATTGATAAAATTCTGTTTTAATAAAACAGCAGGATATCAGCACGAAAGAAATGAACTTCACTAAATGGTTCTTATTTTTAAGCTACTGTAAAAGGGTACTTTAAAGTGAAAACAGGTAAAACCTTTGGAAAAGACTTAGAATTATTTGTAAACTATGTATGGGAAACAAAGCTGTAGCAGTGTGTAACAGAATGGAAAAGGTATGGAGAGGTCTGAATTTTAGTTTATTCCTTTTATCTATGCTGGTGCTAAGCAAACACTGCAGGAGATGAAGAGCTAGGGAGGTGGGGCTTTGCAAAGAGATTTCTTGCAGGTAGAAGCTGATCTTTATAGACTTAACCAAAAGGGAAAAAAACCCACATAATTTAGTCAAATCACACATACTTTTCCAGTGGTGTTTTTCTGAAATTCTGTGAGCTGCCCAGTACTTCTGAGGCACTGTTTCCCTGCCAGTATGCCTGTCTCCTGAGACAAACTATTTCTAAATAACAGACAAATGAGAAAAACCAGCTCCAGTTGCTGAAGTGGTGGGTTCTTTGGTTCGGCAAACATTCGTAGCATCCACAGAAAGCTTTTCTTATAGGTGTCTAGCTTAGATTATAATAAGAAATGTGGGAGACACATAACACATCTTGAAAGAGAAGCAGAATTGCGAGTCAGCTGAAAATACTGAAGACTTGTCAGTAACTTTGTTTTATTGCAAGCTATCTTGGAATGTAAAATGAGCAGAGTTTCAAAACATTTGCCCATAAATGGAAACCAAAGAATTTACGTAGCATCTTGGACCATACAGAACTTTATAGATGGGCCAGTTTTTTTTCCAAAGTCATCACAAAACTTCTGAATGGTGAAGATGCTCTTTAATCTCCTGAAGCAAGATTAAATGTGTATTATACTTTCTCTTCTCTTTCCAAATAAAGCAAATACTGCTGACTTTTATTTAGTCACTCGTCCCAATTCATCAGACAGTAAAATTAAACTTCTGTTGTGTTTGTATATATTTTTTTTTTCCTTAGCTGATTACTACTTTATATAGCTTTAAAATGTGTTCTGTGTTTTAGTGCATTTATGCTTCAATGCTAATGTAGTTGTCCGTTTGCTTGGGATAAATGTCATTTTTCTTTCTTAGGTATATTACCCAAACCTGGGATGGATGTGTGTTGATGCAACTGATCCCAACAAAGGGAACTGGCTACGGTATATAAACTGGGCTCGTTCGGGGAAGGAGCAAAATCTGTTTCCTCTGGAGATCAACAGGACCATTTACTACAAAAGCTTAAAGGTATCAATGTCTGAAGAATCAGTTATTAGGTTTTTTAAATACCTTTAATTCCCCTTTATCCGAATCCTTTTTTTTACCTTTTGTATTAAATGGATTTTGAAGCATTTTATGACATACAATTAAAATATTGCAAATGCTTAGTTTCATTGGTCTAAGTTCTTCCCTGTCAATGCAGTTGACATTATGAACAACTGTTAAAAATGAGGGTATGTATGGACGTTCCATCTTTTTTGTTTGTTGATGATTTGATGTAGCATCAGTGTTGATACAAATGAGGATGGATAGTCGTAACAGGTTAATTGCTAAGTTCCTGTAGATACTGAAGGCACTTTGCACTGAGGATCTGTTTGAGGCTTTGTTCAGAAATCACTTGTTTTTATGGTCTTTGCATCATATAAAAAGACTGGTTACCAAGACACTTTTATAGGCAGCTTTATGAAACAAATTTTCCTGATTTTATTCGCGTTCAGCTTTGTTTAGGGTGTGAGAGGAAATAAAGGGTGTAATCTGTGGGGAATTTTATCTCCCAAACCAAGGGGAAGAATGGTTAGATTATAAGTAACGGTGAAGTATGTTAGTGTTGGAATATTGTAGCTATTGCAATTACTTGAATCTTTGAGAACTGTGAATCTACTAGCAGGGGGTATACTTTGTTCCACTCTTCTTCTAATAAAGGGTTTTTTGGGTGTATAAAGTCTTGCTTTTAGTCTGTGCCTGTTTCTTATATTTCCTTGCAACGTCTACAACATTTCTAGATAACAGAGTAGGTAATTATCATGCAGTTTTGAAGTTTATAGGGCAAGATGAATGTATGTAAAACTTCTATACTGTGCTACTGAGTTTTAGGTCACTTAAACTAGATGGAAAAAACCTCTAAATGTTTTTTTTCGAATTTTCTAATAGCGTTGAGATAGCATTCAAGTAGAGATTCCCTGTTGCCAGCCCTACTAGTGACATCTCTTCTAATGTTTATTCAATGAGGGCAGGCTCTCGGTGTGAATCCGTAGCTAGCTTTGTTTTCTTGGACATTTTATCCTCTGTTACCTCCTCCCTTGCCCATAGTCAGTTGTTCATTAATGTTAGTGTGCTTTCACTGTGCTTTTGGAGTAAATTCCTCTTACTGAATCTTTTCTGCAATGGTTTTAGTCCTGATAAGTAAAGATAGGCATTCACACTTCAAATTGGTTTTCTCATGGAGAGTATCCCACTTTGGAAGATCATTGTACTGCTAAAAGAGGCTTGAGCGATGCTGGCAAAGCAACAGACACCTTGCTTCAGTACCTGAAATGTCAAGAAGATGGAGAACAACAGACTATCTTCTCTAGTGACCTGATGAATTTTATTCTAGTAAGTCTTGCCAACGAGATCATGCTGTCGAGCAACTCTTCCTGAAGCATGCTGGAGCAGCCAGTAAGGACCGGTTTTATTGGGTTCAAAATCTGTCTGGGCACTTGTTGCAGTGTGGTGAGATTTTGAGTTTTTGACTGGGATGTGAATGGGGCTCTTCAAAGAGCAGTTTTGATTTCGATGGAGTTTGTTTGCACTTGCAGCAACCAACTTGGATATATTTGCACTGTGCGTTTCCCTGTGTGCTCCTGGATTATTATGCTTCAATTTAGTGCTAGCAGTACCAAACCCAGGCTAACTTCTAGAAATTCATCTCAGTGTCTGCACTGTATGCTCGTTGGAGGGAGTGTTACCTGAGAAACTGTTACCTCCCGGCTGGCTCTGCACGTAGGCTTGCTGGCGTGCCGACGTACTAAGCCTCTTAAAGGCTCACTGCAGAAGCAGCAGCCCTGGATAGTTCTGGTTCTGGGTCTAGCACAAAGCGGGAGCTCCTGGACCTGAGCTGACGTAGGTAGAACCCCACCGAGTTGTTTGTGCCCTGGGTTCTTCGTTCCGGGAATGCAACGCAGACGAACCCGAACTAGCTCTGTAGGAGCCAGGTTGAGATCTCTTGTGTTAGTAGTTCCAGCTTCATGCCTCTCAGAAGTGACCAAGCTGTCACTTGGTCCTGTTTCCAGGACCAAGTTAGTCCTAGATGTGTTGTAACCGTGGTCCAGCAGTATGACAGGTTGCCCCTCTTGCCCCTCGATTGTCACTACATCTATGACACAGCTAACATGGTGGGTATTTTAAGAGGTGGTGGTATAATTCTGAGTTGCTTCACTATGCAAGGATGAGGTTATGAAGTAAAGTTCAACTTTGCTCCGTGTTGGGAGAGTAATGAGTTCCTAGTAATGAATGTTAGTTGACGGAAATTGCATGCCTAGGTTCTCAATTATTTTGTTAAACAATCTATTTCAATATATTTTACTGTTTTTTCCCACCCTCCTGAAGGTGATACCTAAGGAAAACTCTGATTTTGCAAATGTGTCACTTTTAAAGTGACACGTAACTTCTACATGAAGTTAAACAATTTTCACAACCATTGAGCTTTGAGCATTCAATCAGCATACTATAGGTCAAGATATAGAAAGTCACATCTCAGGTTTTTAATTGTGCAAATGGACAATTGCAGTTTAATAGGAATTCTTTTAATACAACATTCTGTTTAATGTGCCTTGTCCGTTCCATGGATATAAAAACCAAAGGAGAGCATTAAGAAAGCTTGTTCTATCTAGCGTGTCATAGACTTATTTTTCATTATTTGCAGTGACAATAAATTTATAGAAACCAGATTTCTGAAATAGTGTCGAGCAACTTGCAAATAGAGCTGCAAGAGACTGACGGCATAGGGCAAAAAAGTAACGTAGGAGTCTTCAGATTTATGATCTCAAGGGCAAATTACTACATTAAAGCATTTGGCTATTATCTTGTCTTTTGTATCAGTTCTTACTATCCAACAATTTAGAAACTGCGGGGAAAATTCATGCGTGGAAAAAATATTGTGCCATTTTCTGCTTTACAAAGTACTTATACTTGTATGTCTCTAATTTAAATGCTTATTTTTGTCTCACCTTCTGTGCCTTAGATTGACATAACTCCTTACTGATCACTGAGACTAAAAAAAGCATTTAATAAGTAACAGTGTACATACTGATGTTCTGTGATAAAATGTTCCTGCAAGTAGTTAATAGATGTAGAGGCACATAAACATAATTTTTTATCTTATATAGGCTGTAGATTAACTGGGGTAGATATTTTTGCCCTCACTCTTAGTGGCATGTAAAAGTTGTTCTGTAAATACAATCAGATAGTTGAAATGCTCTCTGCTATAGATTGACCAGTCCTGCAGTTAATGTAGGTTTAGGAATATTTTAAATATCCTTCTCCTGCATGTAATGTGTTATGGTGCATGCGCTGCCATTTCAAAACTGTTTTAAATTTCCAGGTGCTGGTACACATGGTTCTTTCCTGATCTTTATCGTGACTGATAAATATAGGGGAGTTCTGTTTGGTGATGCCCAAACGATAAAGTTCTGACTTGCCCCCAAAAGAGGACTTGGTGGCTTGTATGTCGTTTTACCCTGCTTTACCTGGTGATGCTGCCAGAGCTATTAATTTTTTCCCATGTTTTTCTTAGGCTTTTTCTGCATTTCTAATTTGTAAGTTAAATAAGCTGATTTCTAAGCTGCATTGCTAAGATAAGCAAAGTCTGAATTTGCTTGGTGTGAAAGAACCTCAAAGCTGCACAGAGTTTTCATTTCCCTCTTCTCTGTCGTAAATGAATAGTAAAATTCCACGTTGGGGAACTTCTGATGAGGTCTAGGATAGGATTTTTAAGTAAGCACAAGCAAATACAGTTCTCTTCCATCTTCTCTTCCCCTTTACTGGATGACTAGGGATCTTTGTAGGCTGCTTTGCGTATACTTTCCCCGGTATCCGTGAGATTTGTGATAGTTCGTTGAAACAGCTTAAACTCATTATGGGGCTTCAGAAGTTCTTCCTGCCTCTCCTAATGAAATGAGCTACTTTAATAGTGGTGTTGTGCACATAGTGCTGATCTTAATGCTTTTTCTTCAAGAATTATTATAATAAATTACAGAGAAAACTCAGTTTCAAAAGGTCTAATCAGCTTGACTGAGACTGTTCTTGATTTTTAAGGTGAAAATAATTTGCTTATGGAAGGAGGGTGTGTCAAACAGGTTTATAATAACTTGTTACATAGGAATGCAGTGTTAATTAATAGAATAGGGTTTTCCAGCGAAGACAAATACGCACAGGTACTACCACATCGGTCCACAAACTGTCCACTGGGGTCACAGCTGGGGGGAGGTGAGCCACATCCATGTGCAAAAGCACAGTATTATAGTGAAAGACGGCATCTGTGGGGGGAAAAACATACTGGTATACGGTCAGACAGGTGAATGTATGTCTCAGATTGTATAATGCCATTCATTGTACGCATACAAACATTGCATCATGCTGCACAGACTCTGTTAACTTTGGATGCTCCTTTTGAAAAGAAAACACATTTCAAAACCACTTCAAAGGAAACCTTTTGAAAAGAAAATCGCCAGATTGAAGAATGCTACCTGTCACAGTTAAAGCATAATGCATGAAAAAGCACGTGATGGTTACAATTTCAGCCCAGTAGGCCTGTCCATAATTCACTCCTTTTTTTTTTTTTTTT